CAACCTGCATGTGAAAATCGTTCAAGAGCTTTTTCTGAGCACAAATTCTGAATGGAAAAAATCAAAAAACAAACAAGAAAATTACATTTCAGACTCCCAACAAACAGCGCTGAAGCAATAGAGAGAGTGTGTGCATGACTTCAGACAAGGTCCAGTTGTCGCAAGTGTATTAAAGCCTCTTTCATTCACCCATTCTGCCCTCGAATTGACAGATATGTTCCTAACTTTCTGGCGACTTCATTTGGAATCGCTCTACTTCCTCAACAGCGTCTCGTGTAGCTGTCTTCATACACAGCCATTCTGTGGCATCCTTGATTATTATATACCAGTGCAGCTCTTTCCAGACAGACAAAGGGGGAAAAACAAAAGCTATTTCACGGCAAGGTGGCTTTGAGGCAATATGGTTGATTTGTGTGGGCTGATTTAGGAGTGTCGTGAGTGTAAGAGAGCACATCAACACAGTCTTCCTCTTTAAAATCAGACGTGAGTTTATAAAATATATAATTTGGAGACTGTCATCAATCAAAGACGGAGGTTGTTCTTTTCATTGAAACATGTACTGTAGAAACAGTGAGATATTTTGCAGGATAGGCATTCTAAAACGCTTCCAACCCAATAAGAAGCCATATATCATAACGATGCCACAAAACCAATAACAGACCTGACAGATGTGTCAAGAACGGTTGTGATGTTCTGCGGTGACATCTCAGATCAAGTACAGAATGAGTCTGCTTGAATTGCAGATTGTGATTTCCTCTCATGGCACTCTATTTAGTTGCACTTACTAGAAAATAGCATCAATCTCAACTCTGAGATTTGTTTGTTAGTCTGAGTGAAATGAAAATTTCATGTTTTTGTGACACAACCAATGACTGTAAAAAATATGGACGACGCAACAGCGCCTTTTCCTATTGAACACTTTTAAGGCAAAACGTCTCAAGGCAGGCACAAACTGTTGCAATACACTGCTGAAATTTGAGCCTGGGCATGCACAGAAGGGACTACCAGATGGAGCCAGAGGCGGAGCCGTGGAATCAAGCTTCCAACCAAACGCTTGCACGTCAAATCAACCACGCCCCCCAAACTTCTCATTTGATTGCCCGTATATGAACTATAACAAAGGCTCGCTAATATAAATAAGCCCTTAGGTTTAAAAACACTTAATAATATACGATTTATTTAAAAACTGTGTAATGTAAACTGTTTAATAAAAATTTAATAAAAACAATATATGTTGGACTGCAGAAATAAACAATCTTTTATACACTCTAGCCTAAGTTCGACTCTATGAGTACAAAATATAGCATAGCTATGAGTACAAAAATTATTTCACTAGCATAGTTGGTTGTTGGTATTTATTATCTTCACAGGGGTAGAAATATCACTTGTAAAATATGAACAATAACATATCAACTAGGACTGCATGATTCTGTCTAAAATGGGAATCATGTTTTTTTTTTTTTTTGCTTAATATCAAGATCACGATTTTCTCACGATTCTGTAGATGTAAAATAAAGGTTAATATGAGTAGGCTATTATTATTATTATTGATAATTTCCAAACATATGGTTAAACAACAATAATAATATTAGGCCTATGTGTAGGTCTACTAATGCTTAAAATGCTAAATTTTGTACAGTCATTATGGTGGACTTGAACAGACTTTTAATATATCCTGTTTGTTAATTCACAGTAAAATGAGGACATCAGAACACAACTATTAATAATTATAAAGTTGAATTATTATGTTTGAGACATGCTATGCTTGTCAATTGTCATTGACAACATTATTAGACCATTTGTTTTCACTGGTAAAATTAGACATTTTTCATTATCAGATTGCTTCTTGCATTATATTCAACATTATATAGGCTAGGGTAGTTATACTGATGCAGTAAACATTTATTTTCATGCACAACACTGTGTTAGCTATGAAAGAAAAACTATATCAAATGCTTTTCGTAATCATAACTGTGAAATTATTATGATCATTTATATGAGGTGTGCACCGGCTTCATGACTGCCATCACTCTGAGAAAAAACACAAATGCAAATCATTCTTTCAGCTCGACTCTCAAACGCTCTCTCAACAAACTGAACCTTATTTACAACTCTATTACTTGTTATTCACAGCCTATGCAGGTTCTGTTTACTAAAGTAGGTGTCATTGACGTGCACACTCTAATTGGCTGAATCGTGAAAAAGCTGAATTAAGATCGTGTATAGGGTCCAATCGAGATTGTGACCTTTTTTTTTTTGATTAATCATGCATCCCTAATATAAACAAAACATACATTTTTAGAAAGGTTTTTATTTTTAAATAGCAATCATCAGGGTCCAAAAAAAATCACAAAAGACAGCCATTTGCCATGTGTGAAAAAAAATTGTGTTTAAAAGATAAAAATAGCAAGAGTTCAAAGTATAAACAGGATATTTACTCAGATTTTTATCTCATCCCTGCACTATATTAAATATTTCTTGTCATTTTGTACAATCAACTTAGCAGTATTAATACATCAACTGATGTCTATCTGATTTAGACCTATCAGCTGCTGCAACATCGCTTGTGTATTGTTTATCAGAATAATAATTCTGATAAACAATATTTCACAAATAAGAAACTTCCTTCATTTTAATGTTTCAAATAAAAAGCCAACAGTAAATGGTGTCTATAAATTATTACATTTACAGCTCTATTCGTTATATAGGATTCTGATTCTAGAACATTAATATATTACAACAGCAAATTCAGTAGATTAACTCGATAATATGTTGAAAATCAAAATGTCAGAGACGTCCTTTCAGTCAAATTCAAATAACGTTACAATAACATTACATATGTCAGTCACAATGACAAGCCCCGTTTTTATAGCATTAAATTACTGACTAAAAACATATTCTTTACAAACAATGAGCATCTGAACCTGTAGCAGCTTGATAACTAATGCCTAAATTGACCAAAACCATCTTTCGGGAAATTTTATTGCAAGTGTTATTTTTATTTTTTTGGACTCAGGTCTCGTTCCTTAACACGGAGGAGGCGGGCTTTATGACCTGTACTGCAGCCAGCCCCCAGGGGGCCTGGAAGCATCACTCAAAAACAGGCGTGTGGCATTTGGACACAATGCTTTAAATGTCCTGACAGATGTGAATTTTGCTCTTATAAAGGCACTTTGTAAGATACATAACTCTTGAACACATGAACACAAGTAAATATGTTACATTACATGAAAAAGTGGATTGCAAAAAAGTGCTTGAGGGTATTAAAGAGCCGCTATTATGGGTTTTTGAAAATGACCTTCCATGCAATGTGTAACACAGCTCTAAGTGAAGTGAAATATCCTTTTATCCATTATTTCATTTATAAAAGAGTTGACTCGGAGTAGTTCAAATGAATCGTGGAGGTAACAAATCTTTAACTGTGTACAATACTCAAGCCCCGCCCATTTGTTGTGCGCGCAGACCCAGGAAAATTTAAATCCCCGCCCACAAACACTGTAGAAAGAAGAGGAAGACAAACACTGTAGCAGATCCTGGCTGAATCATGTGGCAAAGACGCTGTGCTCTGAAGTGTAAGGAAAAGTTAGAGTTATTTTTCTGATGCAAAGACGAGGCTGTAAAGATTCAGTGGATGAAGTTTATTTTTGCAAAAATACCTCCGCATTATAGCCCCAGCCTTGTGCTGTGTTCCCGTCATTTTTCTGACGAGTCCTTCAGCAATCTACACACTTACAACAGGGCATTCGTCAGCCTTTTGTTAAAGGAAGGATCAGAAAAAACTATTGATTAATAGGACTTTGTCAGAGCTTGAAAGGAACTTTACAGTGCACAGTTTATGGATCAGTTTCTTCATCCATTTCACAAGTGTAAGTAAGTGAGATTAAAATGGTTGCCTCCTTGTTTTCTCTAGCTTGAAAATGTAATTGTTTTTGTTACTTGTCACCGCTTGTAGTGTATATGGTTAACTCTTTATATTCTCACATCGTGTCTAAAACCACGTTGAAAACTCAATGGGTGGGGCTTTGTTTATAGATTTAAATGTGTTTGTGAGCTTGTGATCCTCTGCCGTTTTTTATTGCTATGGCCACTGTCAGCTGTTACTCACACATGCAGTGGTCAAGTTTCAAAATAGTTCGGCTTTTGCCCCTGTGTGGATTGATGCTGAATGTGTGTCACTGTTTTTACTTATGGTTAAGAATAAGTAAATATGCTCGTGTTAAACTGCATTGCTTTAATGCACTCCTGCACTGGGTTCACACATGCACTCTGCACTCTGAATACGTCAAAACTGCTGATAAGCTGTGGTGTGCATTTCACTCTCACGCTGAATGCAGTCGACCAATCGCAATAGACTGGGTCATTGGACCAATCAGCCAAGGGGTATGAGAACAAATGAATCACTGAACGAATCATATGGGAGTCATAGGGATAATTAGGTAAAAATAAATGCTTATTATAAGACCACGAAATTGTTTTTTTACCTTGCATGCATATCAGCCTGTTGTTGGAGACCCCCAAACCTAAAATATGACCTTTTTAATACATAATAGGGGCTCTTTAGGTGCAAGATAAAAAAAAAATAAAAAATGTGTGTATAAATAAGTAGAAAATCACAGAAAAATATTCCACTGCTCCAGGAATTCAATTACTTAATGCAAAACCATAAACCAGCAGTGTAGCTGTTGCTCACTCTCAATGTCTCTCAAACTGTGAATACATTTGACATTTTATTCCATCTAGTACCCTATAAAGAAGACGCTATCACTTTGCAGGTGTAATCTCTACTCCACAGTATGGCGCTAATGCACTTCAACAGTTTACATAAGCATGAACAGATGAGGTAAACAAAACAGTTGGACTTTAAAGTAAATTTAGTTTAAGTATGTATTTGTTTGTATGTCAGGCCTGTAAATAGAGCTCCTAGCTGAGCAATTCAGAATGAAGGATTTCAGCACCAAGGACAGCTCATAAACGCTCGTACTTATTAGAAAAGCACTCACCTCCAATATCCGGGCGCAGTTTTTTGTCATACTCCTTTAATAAGTTGTTTAGTATTTGCGTTGCATCTGTCTCGTGGGTTTTGGGGGCCAACATTTGATTCACAGTAACGTCGTCATACTCATCATCATCAGAAGCAAATGTTGGAGAACTAAAAAAATAAAAGAAAATGTAGAACTGGTCACCAGTAAGGTAATGGTATGTATTTCAATCCATTCAACTGCCAGAATGGATTAACTACCAGAATCGAATGGTCAAATCAGTGTGGAATGAGCTCATTAGTGAATATTTACAGAGGTAAAATGCTAATTTTTAAGAGAATGCAGCACTGCTGGTTTGATCAGTTTTTTTGTTAAATATTACTGGGTTTCCACGAAGAACTCAGTAGAACTGTAGTCATATCTACAGTGCACTATGTACTTATTCTCTATGGCATTTTTCCCAAAAGCTTCAAGTTTTATCTACAAAACTTCAGAATTTAATTACAGCTCTAATAATACAAGGCCATTGCATGCTTAACTTAAAAAGGATATTTCATATTTTATTTCCACGGTTTCTCGCATTATGCAAACCATTGTAGACTAAATCCAAGAATAAAAACCTAAGTGCATTCAATATCAAATAGCTAAATTTGCATGACAAATGATGAGTTATAACTTGCTTTGAGCTTACTTTGAAAAGCCTGAGTAACAAACTGCAACAGAAAGCCAACATATTCTTCATTATGATTTTTAAAAAATAAAAAATACAACCCTGCAATAGTTTAACAACTTAACAGAAACAGGCAAATAGTTGTCTTAACTATTTCTACTAAATATATGAATAATGCTAATTAGGTGCTTAATTAGCACTGTCAGAATAGATTAAAAAACGTTATGTAGATTTTTTTTATTATTCAGCTCTGAATATTAGTGATTAAATATGAAAATAACAGGTAGAAAGAAAGAAAAACAATACAAATAAACCAAACATAAATGCTGTAACACTTTAAATTAGGGGACACATATATAATAAGAACTATTAGTTTTAAGCTTATTGAGAGTAATTGAGAGTAAGTTACCTTTGTTGTTAGTTAAGTTTATGATAACTGATGATTTTGGTATCTAATATATGGTCATGAATAATCGGGCAAAGCCTATTTGAAACATACCAGTGGTAATAATGTGCATGGTATTCAATAGAGTACTGTAGGTAATCATGTTTTTTTTTTTCTTTAAGGTTTATCAAATGCGAAATGCTAAAAAAGGATGTTTAAGTGACAGTGTGCTAAATGGGTGTCTGTCTTAGTAGCGTTGATACAGGAGATACATATTGCACTCGATATATCTTATATATCTTATATATAAATAAACACGTGCCACTGCAGAATCCTAATAATATTCAATTAAATCAGGATCAAAATAGCAAGTTTCCTGTTTTGCTAGCATTTTAGGTCCAGTTTCTATTTAAGGAACATAAACTTTTGGACATACTGGCTTCGGCACCTTTTGACTTGACAGCTACAGTAACGACGCTAAAATGCGTTATCAACACCGAAAAAAAAATTACATACGACATTAGTTAGGATGAACTGTACAGCGTAATTAGCATTGGGAAACCCAGCTCTTCTCACCCACAAATGACATAAAGAAACAACAAAATAATAGCTTTCGAAAGCGCTATACAAATACAAAGATTGAAATAAAAATAGCCAAAGTCTTGTGAACTTCATGAATAAGACATATAAAAAGACTAATTATTAAAGTTAAGCGTTCAATGCGTGAATCACATCCTTATCGCCTGATTGATGATTTTCAACTAGCCTATGCATATGAAATCTTCAACGGACAAAACAAATTAGGATGAATTACTTGTGTCGGCACACACACAAAAGATTACAACGTCACTTACCATGCTCGAAACACTGACAGAAGTAAGAAGTAGAGGAACAATTTGGTGGTCATGTTTTAGGTGAGACTGTCTCCTTGTTGAATGTGGCACACCGCACGGAGACTCTTCAAAGAAGGAAAAAAGTGACACAGCTGCAGCCTTTTCTTCCAGGCTCAGTTCAAACAGTGGCGAGCAGTCTAGGTTATAGTCCAACGGGAACGACAAGACCTCCTCGGCTAGTGTCCGGTGCTTAAAGTTCACTTACATTGCCAATTAACGGGATCAAATAATAGAAGAGCCCCTCCTGCTCCTTGAAGTTGCGCTGCCTTCGATTGCACCACCAGATACACATACTGACGTTCACACAGAGGCAGAGCGCAAACTTCCAAAGTGGACACCTTCAAACCTCGTACGCGTCCTTTAGTTTCTTCAAATTACGTCATGAAACGACAAAGACTGCTTTCACAGACGCTTCGGCGGAACTTGAGATCCTCTTCGGGCGCATCTGATATGTTCAGCGTCGAAGCGGCTGTTTACGGTACTGCTGTCAGCTAGGTAAATGATAACCGCGCGGAATATGTTCGAAATGGAAATTGGTGCGTAATTGCTGTAATTGCTTTGCACGTGCATTGATCGCCGTGCGATTAACCCAATGACAGCAACACTGAGGGTGAAGAAAATGTCATCAACAAATTTGGAGTCGAATTAATTAGCTTCTTCAGGGTGATATTATGCAGTTTTGTATAGCATAGATACAACTACATTGTTCTGTACTTTGGTACGCACCGATATTATTGCCAGTGAGATGTCATATGCTGTCGTTTTTTATTTCCTTTACTACAAAACTAATGCAGCTAATTGAACATTCAAAGCTGGAGAAATGACTGTCTATACGTTGTCTTCGCATTGTTGAGTCGATGTGTGAGCAGGTGCACATATGCAGTATAATATTTGAGAGACAGCGCCGACATTTATCACCACAGGCAGCTCCCAGTCGCCCACGCACTTCGGAAAAAAACACAAGCCCCTTTCTCTATCTCTCTCTGTCTCTTTGCTCTGCATGTGGTGAGTTTTTTTTTTTTTTCTTCTTCTTCTTCTTTTGACTACTCTCTAGAATGTTCGGTGTCTGTGGTACTCCTTAAAATGCCAAAGGCGAATCTTGAGATGGTTTGAGAGTGACCTTTTTGTCAGATTTCCAAAATCAATCAGTCTATCATCTATCCATACATTAAATTAATAGTTAAAGAGTAACTAGGTTTATCAAAGAAGAATATAATATTGTATAATGCAACCCAAGGATCCTGTATAAATAAATAAATAAATAGTTACAAAAATAATTCCCTCGTATACTCCCTACTCTTTCGTCATCCATTTGTCAAACAAACAGATGACCTCACCCCAAGCGCACTAAATTTATAAGTTTTCAGTGGTATTTTCAGATAAACTTTATTACAAATTACTTATATTTAATTACTTCAGCTGTACGTGTTTCTAGAATAGCATCAAGTGTCTTAACTAACTTCTAAGTGTCGTACAAATGACACACTGAAGCTTTAATGACACGCATACAATAAGAACATGACGACCTATTTCTCTTTGTTTTCAGGTTCTTGTGACGGTGTGGTGGTGTCTCCCTTTTTGAGTTAGTGAGAGCATGAACTCGGCCCGTTCAAATGAATGATAGACTATCCTCTTGTGGCTGATTATAGTAATGCAGATTGGAAGTGGAGCACACATATTAAAGCAAACACGGTGTACTGCATTAGAAAAAAAGGTAAAGGGTAAAGGATGCTGCAAGAAAACAGTCTGTGCTGTCAAAAAAGGTTTAGGCAACACAAGTTAAATTATTTTGTATTCACAATGAAACCTTACATTGTAAGAAATGTGCTTTTTGAGATAACTTGAAATTAAATAAAAAAAAACACACACTGAATAAAGTAATGCAGAAAAATTAAATGAGCTGAACAAAGACATTCGAAAAACAATGATGAAAATATTACAGTGTTCAACTGTTTTGAATATGTTTAGTCATTTTCATCATCTCCGTTCTTAGTCACTTTCATATTTACAAAGTATGCTACTGCCACTTTAAATGGTTTTCAGCTGCCATGTCCCTGCACAATGGATTAAATCCAAATCATGACATAACCAAACCACTTTTGATAAGAAAATGCATTTTCAGCTTTAGGATATGCAATCTATGGGTTTTAATAACAAAATGAAAACAACTTTGTATCTCTCCATGATACAAACATAAATCTGCAATAATGACGTATATCAGAGTGACAGCTTCTCTACTGCACACTGGTGGAATTCCAGTTCAGAACCAGAAGTAGGATTCCAAGCTCTCACTCCGCCACTCAGGGGATTAAAGGTTTAAGGTCCATTGGCATGCCGTGCATTATTGTGTGATGGATGAGTAAAGTATATTGAAGTGGTTAACACTCGCCTTACATGTATTAAAATAAAGTCCTTCCGTGAGCCTGCAGCAAGAGTGACATGTCAAATAAATGTCAGTCGCCTGGTCTCCATTACAGATTTGTACAAAAGTCTTGTGATGTTTACTAAAGTTGATTTAAAAAAACGTATTATACAGTGTTTATATTCATCATTGTTATGCAACTAAAGCATGATCTTGTGAAATATAAATAAACATTAAAAAAAAGAAAAACACATTCATATTTTAAAGAATGGATTTTACATACACCAGGCGACCTGCAGAAAAATAAGTGGTTTCCATTGTTGTTTGTATTCATTATTTATTTTTGTATTGCCTAAACAAACCCCTCATGTGAGGATTTCTTTCTTTATTATTATTATTATTATTATTATTATTATTAGTGTTGTTATTATTATTATTGTGATATGTCTTTGCAAAAATGACATATTTCTGCAATTCCAAATTGCAAAATTTGAAAGGTAATAAAAATGCAGCTAATTCTGAAACTAAATAAATATATATTTAATAATATAATAAATATAAAATATTTATTTGTAAATTAAACAGTATTCTGTGATGAACATTTAGTTTTATTAAATGTATTTATGTCTTTGAGATGCATGATGGAATCTTGATCTATTTTTTGTTTTAGAGTGACTTTTATTTACATTTTTAACAGTTTGAAGTGATATATTGTCTGGATTTGTTTACAATGTATACAGTATTCAATATACAAAATAAAGTTTCAAACTCCTATAAGATTGGCCGGTATAAGATTGTGACAGTATGATAACCTTGGATAAAAAAAATCACGGTATCAAGATATTGTGATAACTGCTTTAAAATATATTATTTTTAAATGTCTGGGCAACCTCCCTATTGAACACAATATATTTTATTTTAAGAAACATTTAAAATATTTTGGAACAGTAGCTTCGGATGTGGAGTGTCCTTTTTGATACTGAGATACCGTTGCCCTAAAAAAACGTCATAAAATAGTCGCAAAAAAAAAAAAAAAAAGGAAAGGAAAAACAGAGATTAAGGTCCCATAATGGAATTCACAACTATAAATAAACAGAAAACATCCATGGTAACAAACATTTTGCTTGTTCATGTACAGTAATAGTGACTAGTAAGAGTTAAAACATAAAAAAACAAAGATATTCTCAGCTCAAAGTTTTGTTTTTGCTCTTTGTTTAAACATTAAAAATAAGTTGAAAGGGACTATTTAATGTTTTGTTAGTGGCTAATTCGAGTGAATTTGTACAAGTTCAGTCATACAAAAATGTATGATTTTATAAAGGAGGTGTGGCACCAAACCCTACCCCTAACCCAACCGTCATTGGGGAATCAGCAAATCAAATTAAATTGTGCGAATGAGAGCGTACAAATTCATATGAATTAGCCACTAAATCAAAAAGTATGAATTGCCGTGAGACTGTGTTGTAGTCACAAACGCTATCTCATGCCAATACATAACATTTTCATTTAGTAGCTAATTCCTACACTCCAATCTTTCCTCTCAAAAAACAAAAATGAAAGTAATGAGAAAGCAGCAGTTAAGAAAGCATCTGATTGTAGTGATATGTAGTGATATGTTTGCACAAGCTTTGTGATTCACTGGCATTATCAGTTATAAAGTATATAGACAATACTGTAGATCTGGTTTGAACACAAACTCGCAGTAACTTTTTGATTTAGTGGCTAATTCATATAAATTCGTACAATCCCATTCACACAATTTAGTACGATTTGCTCATCCCGCAATGACGGTTGGGTTTAGGGGTGGGGTTTGGTCATACATCTTTGTATGAAAGAACTCGTATGAATTCGTACAAAATAGCCAGGGGGTATAGTGCCACACTTTCTTTTTAAAATCATACATTTCCATAAGACTCAACTCGTACCAATTCACACAAATTAGCTACTAAACTGACAAAATGTAAAATAGTCACTTTGACTTCTTTTTTATCTTTAAGCAAAGAGAAAAAAACGAACTTTGCGTTCAGGATATCATTGCTTTATAAGTTTTAACTTCCAGTCACTACTACTGTACACGAACAAGCAAATGTTAGTTGTCATGCATGTTTTCTGCTTATTTATAGTTTAATCTCTTAATCTCTGCTTTGTTGGCTTTTGATGTTGACAATTCAACTGTGCAGTTTAACAATGACTTTTATTCTAGAGTGACTTTTATTAGTACGATTTGCTCATCCCACAATGACGGTTGAGATTAGGGACATTTTTGTATGAATTTGTATGAATTGACAAAACATAAATAGTTACATTTCCTTGTGGGATAAAGCTGGATATACTGTTCTGTTAAAAAAAATCCCAACGTCATCCAAGCTTGAGAGAATGACGTTTAGCTGAATATAGAAATATGCACTGCAATATTTCCTCTTATAAAAACAAAAATGAAAGTAATGAGAAAGCAGCAGTTAAGAAAGCATCTGATTGTAGTGATACCGATATGTTTGCACAAGCTTTGCGATTCACTGGCATCATCAGTTATAAAGTATATAGACAATATACTGTAGATCTGGTTTGAATGAATCCTATTAAGCTTCTATGGACAAAACAATGACATTATACACAGGATGGCTTATTTGGTATTATCCCGAAAACCCTAACCATTCATTCCATGTATCAGAAGCTGAATCAAGAAAGACATTATCACATCCTTATGCATCCACATAAAAATCAGTCCAGATAACAGACAATCAAGGAAGCAAACGTCGCCACTAACAAAATGTAGCCCATTTTAGAACAATAACAGAGAAAAAAATACACAGAATAAACAAATATCAAATTTGTATATTCGATGCACTTAGCATTGGACATCTCAATCTCCAGTAATGTGCTAGCAGATAATATCCCACACATAAAAAGGATGCACTGGTGCTAGTTTAATTCATAAGCATGTATAGGAGCCCTGTTTGAAAAAAAGCATGTTAAGTGAAGCTAAATCCTTCACAAACAGATGTGGGCCAGATGTTTGTCGGCGCACAGGACCAGAGGAAGGATTCCGCATCCTCCCTGCTCCAGGAACCCTGGTCTTGATGTGTGCAGGCGCGTTTGCTCGCATGTGTCTGTGTGTTTTCACTTAATCCCAGGAGTAATCCTAGGAGGAATCCTTCTTCCGTAGTTACAGTGGCTTCTGCAACAACTGTTCCATTTGGAAAATATCATGCTAAGCTTCATGCGCACAACGCGTCTTACAGACAAGAGAACCCGGCGAACATAAAAACCCCTACAATCTCATGGCTCGCGGTCCAGCGTTAACCAAAACAAATGGAGTGCTATTTTTTGATGCAAATAAAGTCCTTGTTGATCCCAGTCAAGCTCAACTGCGCAGGAACATTTCCGCGTAGGGCGTAAATGCGATTGGTTTTTAAATGTCACCAACATTCAAGGTCAAGGATTGCAATTAAGAAATGTCTTTCGAGCAAGAAGTAATCACAGAAGTTGGTCAAGAAACATCAGGCAGAATTTATTGCTTCAGACATGTATGCTCTGAGGAACAGCTGTACATTTCTGGAAACATCCATTGTTGTAAAAGGGCACGAGAACTCTTTTCGTGATTCATGCTCTCATATAGGCATGAGTGCCACAC